TGCTGTTGGATGACGATTTCACTGCATAATGAGGCAGGGGCTCAGGAATCTTATATAGCAATATAACCAGGATACAACCAGTTGAGTGGACTCCGCCTTTCAAATGTTCACCAATGTGTCTGACGGTGATTGCAGTCAGTTGGAGCTGGAGACAGGTTGCCAAACTACTTGCAACCAGTTGCAGGCTCCAAATTTTTTTTTTTTTTAAATCAGTTCACTGGGCAGCAACCAAGTTTCCAGCCATAGAGTTTTCCTACTCATTCTATTTAAACTCCAGTGAGACTGAGTCATTAGTGATGAAGAGGAATGTACTGCTGGGTGTGTTTTCACCTTGTTGTGGCAGGCTTGGATGTGGATGATTGAAAACAGCACATTTCCTTGGAGTTGAAGTGAATGCTTATTGCTCCATTTAAAAAAGCAATATACTCATTTTTCTGCTTTTGTCTATGACAATATTTTCAGAGGCAACACACCAAATGAATTTGTTACGTTCAAGTTAGAAAAATAGCGCATGATTTCTTTGATTTGTTGTAACTGAGCCTTTGATGCTTAGCTAAAGTACTGTACACCAGTTAATTGTAACATCTCATAAATGAACTCGACGCTCGCTGACTCTGAATGAAACCCAGATGAAAACTCCATTGCAATTCTGGTCCCGCCTTTTGGAAGTTGACGTGGTCCTCCACTGTTATCCCAGAGGGAGTTAAAGAAGCCTGATTTTCTCATCTCAGCTCATGTAAACCTTGGACACTTGGTTTCATGCCCCTCCCACCCCCTCACCGAAAGCATTTGCCAGCTGGGATTTGAGCAGAGGAGTTGAAGCCCCTGCTCTTTCTAGGGAGCATAGAGAGAGAGAGTTAGGAAAAGTGGAGCAGGTCCTTCCCTGCCCCAGCTCTTGGCTCAGTGACTCTTGTGTTGCTCCAAAGTCCCAGAGCACGCCTCAGAGACGCCATCATTTACTGCTCGGCTGGCAGGGCCACACACCCACACCCACCTCAACCGAATGTTGCACATTAAAAACCAAGTTTATCAAAACACTGACTTGGTTTGCAACTAATCACATGCTGAATCATCCCAAATTCATATATTTGGTCTCAATTTTCTGCTTTTTCATGCTCATAGGATTTTTTTTAAACTTTAAATGAGGGAATTTCCAATTCCTTTGTTCATATTCAAGATTCATGGCATAAATTAGCACTAAAAGACAAAACACTTTGATGCTATCATGAGGCAGATCCTTCTGGCAGGTCAGCCGACAGTAAATGAGAGAAGACTGCTTTTGAATTACATAACTCTTTCCACTGGGAATTTACAGGATTACAAAGTTTGTTTTCTAGATCACAGCTGTTGTGTTTTCTTTATGTTTCAGCTGTGTATGCATGCATGCTCACATTTGCAGGGTCAAAGTTGGCACATTGTGCATCAGGAAAGCACTGACAAGTTTGAAAGTATGAATATGGAAGAGATCAACGGTTGAATATGTGGATTAAATATGTTGCCACAGCTCTGAAGGACTACGATTTGTGTGTTGTTGTGAAGAAAAAAGAAACGGTGTGTAAAGGTTTTACAGCTATTTTCTTGGCCCTGCACATTGGCATTTCTGAGTCCAGAGAGTCTTGTGAATTGACTTGGCTTCTCTCAGACTCTGATTGAATCTCCTAAATGAGCATGGAAGACCTCCAAACGTGCTCGGAGATGAAGGAAGGAGAGGGTGCGGGCGGCGATGACGGCAGGCACAGAGTCTCAGATGTGTTGAGGTTATAAGAAGCGACATTTCCAGAAGGATCAGACATCATCTGTGGTATATGTGGCTACAAAGGTTTTTAGGATGAGCAGCACTAACTTAACTGCGTGTGTTTTGTTTTTTTATAATGCTGCTTGATGTGTATGAAAACCCACCTCTCCATATTTCATCTGGTGCAGATTATAAACTGGAGACCAAATTTGCAATCAAAACAAAGCGAAAAAGGACATGGCTTCATAATCTGTACCGAAAGGCTCAAGTCGTGATCTGGTCGCTGCTTCGTTGGTTCGATATTGAGCTGCAAAATAGGAAATCTACCATTCCCTCTAGAAATGAGGTCACAAGCAAGCAAGCTTTGACTGTGCAGTGGTGGCGGTCCACTTTGTGACCTTCATGCAAATAGTTAGGGAGCAGTTGTTTTCTTTATTAGTCAGAGTAGAGACAGACAAAGAAACCGCATCTTAGCAATTGTGTTACAGTTAATAAATATTCTACTTTCTCTGTTGTGTTTTTCGTCTTCAGGCCTACACCAGTCAGTTTGTGGCCTTGATCATGTTTGCCCTCCTGATGTGCGATGACAGGATTTCAGTGCAGCCCAGGCGCCGTGAGATAATCCAGGGCCTAAGAGTGCTTCCAGGTAAGTCACACCACATGTGTTGTAATTCAGCCAGAGAAGTCTTGATCATATGTGAAGTTTAAACACAAAAAGACTGGAAAAACTAGCTCTCAGACCCAAGATCAAGCACATCCACAGCCTGTTTTAGTTTTGTTTTTGTTGGTGGACAAACTTAAACGGCAACAAAAGGATCAGAAGACGAGAGAGAGCGGGAAGGGGGGCAGACGGATGAATAGCTTTAGATTTTGGCGTTGGGCTCTTGCATGACTCTGTGAATCTAAAGCACATGATAGCATGTCCCCAATAGTAACCTAATAAGGAATGTCTGGCTCGTCTGCCACTCCCTGCCCAACATTAGAAGCTGAGTCTAGGTTCATGTTGCTGCAATATTTTTTTCATATTTTGTCACTGCCAGTCAGCCTCTTGAAACAAGAAAAAAAAAAATGTGTGTGTGTGTGTGTGTGTGTGTGTTAGATCTGATTAAGGAGGTCCTCAGTTTGGATGATGAAATCCAGAAGCTGGCAACAGAGCTGTACCAGCAGAAGAGTGTGCTCATCATGGGCAGAGGCTACCATTACGCTACCTGCTTGGAGGGAGCACTGGTGAGCACATGCGAGTTTATCATCTGACAGCTTGATTGTTAATTTCAGCGTAGGCTTGCATTTATCTAAAGTCTGGATGTTTTTTTTATTCCCCTGCAGAAAATCAAGGAAATCACGTACATGCATTCAGAGGGTATCCTGGCAGGAGAGCTGAAACACGGCCCGCTGGCCCTGGTGGATAAACTCATGCCGGTGATCATGATCATAATGAGAGACCACACTTATGTCAAGTGTCAGAATGCCCTGCAGCAAGTTGTTGCTCGCCAGGTAAGAATCGCACATGGCGCATGTTTTGTGATCAGCCTTATTGTAATGTCGGTGTGTTGGTTTATTTTATAATCCAGTCACAAGTGATCAGCCCAGATTGTTTAGTTGCCTGAAATGCTCAAACAAACTCTGACAAATAAAAACTAAATGTGACGCTTTACAGTGTTTATTATATCGTGGAAAATGACTAAGTGAGTTTATTTGAATCCATTTAAGTTTTTTCCTTTCTGAAAACTGTTTGCATCATAACTCATTAAGTTCAAACCCCGAAAGTATGTTGACCACTGCGTCACCTCTGGCCCTTCAACTCAGTCGGTGAAAGGGGAGAGGTTGATTCAGCGCATCTCCATCATTGTGCAGTAAACAATCTGCAACAGATGTTGGTTTAGAGTTGTGAAAACTCACACTATATTCATCTCTTTGTTTCATTTACAGGGTCGTCCTATTGTGATCTGCGACAAGGACGATCACGAAACCATTAAAAACTCCAGCCGCACCATCAAAGTGCCTCACTGTTTGGACTGCCTGCAGGGCATCCTGAGCGTCATCCCTCTGCAGCTGCTGTCCTTCCACCTGGCTGTCCTCAGAGGCTACGATGTAAGTGCTTTCCCTTCAGGATCAGCAACAACTCTCAATCCAGCATGCTTCTTAATTCAAACATTTCTTGGAGATACCATTTTCCCAAGTCATTTCCACTCTTACAGTCATCATCAGTATACCTGTGTTTACAGGTGTAGTAAGAGTATGATTGTGTAAAATACGTCGATGATTCGTTTCAGGACATAAAAGAGGACAGTTGTGCAAAAGATTCTAGAGCACAATATAAATGAGATATTCTGTTATTATTAGCCTGTCACTGATCATCTAGCGCTGTCGCTCAGGACTGCTTTGTAAGCAGAAACACTGCCAGAATAAACGTGCAGTGTTTATATCTGTAAATCAGCATGTCCCCAACTCGCTTGAAAATGTAACCTACTTTGTGAACGATGTAAACTGGCAAACTTGGTGGTGAAGGTGATGACGATGTGGTTAGCTGCCACACTGAAAGAATTATAGTGAAATGTAAATAACCTCCATCTGTGCGCGAATTCCGACCTGCGATTGTTTCATTTATTGGCAAAGCCCACAAGCTGTTACTGATGTTTGTGCTGGTGCTGCAGAACTGACTTAGATGTGTTGTCCCCTTGATTTCCTGTTTTTGAGGAATTTTAAAGGTCAAAGTGAGCAGCTTAACTCAAAGTCAGCATCTAAGTGAGTTTTTCAGAGCATTTCAGAGAAACGTCCTGGCCGTGCAGCTCTGTAGAACAAACAGCTCCACCACACGCATGCCCTGTGTTTTATGTAATTTTGTCCGAGGGGAGGAGAAGCGCTCTGGACAGGACATGTGTGATAATTACAAGAGCAGTCCTGCCAAGCCGCCATATCTCTGGCTCGCAGATTAAAGTATGTTTTTGTTAAGATTTGTATAAATCATACTCGGGTGTTTTGACAGCAGCATTTAGTCAACAGCAGCAACAGTGTCCTTTTCATCTGCAAGGCTATTGATTGTCTGCTCCTCTGTTTAAACGCAGGTGGACTGTCCAAGAAACCTGGCCAAGTCCGTGACAGTAGAGTGAGCCGCACCATTCATCACTAACAACAAAAGCTTGGCATAGACACACATTCAAGCACAGACCCCAAAGGAAGCGTCTGTGTGAAGTAAACCATCAGAAGATGACGTCCTGTCCTGTGTCTTGTGTGTCGTGGCTCTTTTTTTTTCTTCTTTTTTTTAATGCAGTCTTTCAGTAATCGCTCTTGTATCTCACTGTTGTGTATTATCACAGTGTTGCATTGTTTCTTTTATCAGAAAGCTTTGATAACATTTGTTTTTTTTTTGTTGTTGTTGTTGCCGGTGGCAAGGAATGGGTTGGGAATGACGTATAACGTGCATATCACTTTTTCGGGGGTGAACCTGTATCAACCTTCGCTGGCCATTTATGGGCATGCCTTCCATGTTTATCTGTTGCTGATTGGGCTCTCTGGAAGCTGATGTTAAAGCTGACAGTAGTTTACGCTTTAAAGACCTCACTGGCTCATTTTCTCTTTTAGTGCAATGATTTGTAGTTTAGTTGGGATTTTTTTTTCCTTGGCAGCTAATCATTCAAAGTGTCTTTACTCCACTGTTGAAGTAAACCACAGTCTTGAATCATTCCAAGCCACAGGTCATCGCTTCTTCATAATTGCAGTGTGGTTTTGATACACTTTCCCCTCTTGGATTTTCTTCTGAGGACACGCAGCAAAGAGCAGCATCAAATGTCCGATCAGAAAAAGTTTGTGAATACTGTCATAAATCTTCTAATGTTGCTGTGTGTAAGCCCAGGAATTCGGTTTTTTAAACTCTGGTTTTGGTCCACTCAGTTAATGAGAGGAACCACCTACACCAGAGTCTGAGACGTCGCTCGTTCACTCTTTCCTATTTTTCTCGACACGATCCTGTTACTGTAAACGCTCTCTGGGTGCAGTTTAGCGTTTCATTCTCGTGTGGGACTTTTCGCATAAAGGTTTCTTTTAATCAATAAACTGAAGTAATGCAATTGAGATAAAGTTGCGAACCTGAAGTAGAGGCAGTCGCCAGCCCACACCTTGCCACCGTCATTTTGCAATCTTGGGACCATTTGTAGCTTTTCTTCTTTCTTTTTTTTCCTCCTCTTGTTACATTTGTTTGTTAATTGGTTTTTTGGAAGGAATTTTATATTATTGAAGTTACTCTTTCATTTAAAATGTTAATGTTACTGTCATCTGAAATGTCAAACCAAAAATCTGTCTCTGGTGGCTTTGGCAATCATAAACCAAATCTCTTTTTTTCGGTTTCACTGTTGCTTTTGTAGCCAAACATGAACTGATTTTGCAGATCGTATGCTATGAAGTTATTCTGAGGCCCTGAGGGCACGTATACACACAGTCGCTTGGCAGCATGTCATACTGTAGACGTTGACTTTGGTCAGAAGCCAAATGCCAAGCTGTGTGTCTGTGATCCCAGGTGTCTTTTAAATTCAGAAGCCAAGAAAAAAAGTGACATTGCGCACACACACACACCCACACAGACCCACACACACAGACCCACACACACAGTTATGCAGTAGAGAAAGAATAGGAGCAGCTTTTTTTAAGCCTGCATTCTTTAAGTTTAAAGATATTTATCTTGCATTTACAATCAAGCCTTAACTTGGACTTCATTTTCCCCCCTTGAGCCTTTTCTGAGCCAGTGAAATGTTGTTACAGGTACTTTTGTAACCCACACTCGAAACACTTTTTGATTTACTGTCTGGATGTATTGATCAAGGATGCTGCACTGGATCCTAGCACCATCTGTTGGGTTACAGAGGGAGTGGGAGTACTATTTATTAGTGGAACTGATGCAATAAAGTGTCACGTACGTATCTTTTAAAAGTGTCTGGGAGTTATTGGATTGAGGATTTGTGCGCTTGTGGATTTACGTGACCTAAAATACTGACAGTGATAACAAAAGGTGTCTGTACGATTTTTATTCCAATAAATACGCTGTAGAAATTCAGGCACATTTGGACTTGTCATTAAAATAACGTGTTTAGTTTTTCAGGTGATAGATTGCACAAAGAGTTGAGGTACTGGAGGTATTTAGGGGTAGCTCAAAGTAACGATACGCCGCCGCTGGTGCCAAACTCCAGGAAGACGGACACTATCGGTCTGATGCTCTCACGTAGAGCTGTCACAGTGGAGACGCAGCGTCTGAGGTTGCTCCACAGACAAGGCAGGAGTGAAACTGCCACTTGAACGAGAGCAAAGGACATCAAACACAGAGATAGTGAGAAGCGGCAGAGCGCGGGCAGCACAAGCAGCACTGCCTTGATTGGCTTTAAGGGCTCTGCAGATCTCCTTCCTCCACAGCCACTCGGAGGGCAGCTGTAATTGCTCAAGGTGTGCGATGGAGGCCAGGTGGAGCAGCAGCTTGAGCATGCATGTTGGTCCAAGTCTTCACGTGCCAGGAGCACACCTGCTAGCTTCTGCCTGATGAACGTGTTCAGTTTCAGCAAGACTGAGAGGTAAAGAGTCAAGTTCCTGGTGAAAGCAAGTGCAGCTCTCAGAAGGATTTCATTGCAGAAACTAACCACAACGGCGGCCTCACACGCAGCTGTGGAGTAATTATGGAAAGTAACCACGGCTTTCAGCAGTAACAGCCTCCATTGTCCGAGCATGAGGAGCGTCCTGGGCAGTTTCTCATCTATAAAGAGCATCGTGTGAAGCAGGTAACATCCTCTGTGTAGGAGCCAGACTTTGCTAGTTCTTATAAATCAAAGCGTCACTGCAGCTTTTATCAGTGGGGCTGAATAAGTGTTAGCAGCTGTTGTGACTTTAATTGCAGACAGCTTGGTGTCGTAAGGAGAACGGATTTTCTCTGCTGCAGGCCTCTTGTTAGAAGGGCAGGAATTAGGTGTTATCACAGGAAATGCGTATCTCTAACCATGAACCCTCTATGCCTAAACGTCCTGAAAAACCAAAAGCAGAAACCTGAGTTTCTGTAACTGTAGTCGTTTATACGATCTTGTCAAGACTTGATATTGTGTTTATCTTTTCTTAAAAGTTTAGCATCTTCTGCATAATAAGGGCAGGGGAGCAATCAGCAGGTTCACCCGGTATCTATTAGATGTTTCCTGACGGCGCCAAGTCAAAGTGCAATAAACAGCTGTGTCCTCTTTATCTTCTTTTAGGTTAGGTCTCCTTGTTTATCAGCAGTTGGATCTTTTTAAGTTGCTACTTAAAATCCAACTACTGTGGACTACCAGAAACATCATGTTTGATCACCAAATGAACAAACCTAATGATGTAATTGTTCAAATCTGCTTCATTAGGGTTGGTCAGTTTGAGCCAGCAGCAGTGAACATTAAAGCTGAAGCTTCAGTTAAAATGCTGGTAATTTTATTTTGAAAATCTAATGAATATTCAGTTACATTTACATGTTTACTGTCTGGCAATTCATGGCTGCTTTTGATAACCATCAAACATTTTCTGCCAAATGATTTACAAGAACCCAGTTTTACATTGTGCTGTTTGTATTCTAATGCGATGCTTGCATTTGAAGACATTAGACTGATTTTTATTTTATTTTTTTCCAGATTGAAGTCCTTGTAAACTTTAGACGTGGCTGTGCAGAAAGGTCGCAGTAGATCAATTGTTTCTGAGTTATTCAGTCGAGCCCATCTGACACCAACAACCCTTCCACATACTCTGTTTGGGCTACACCAGGTCGTCTTAACCATGTCTAAATGCCTAAATGCACAGAGTTGCTATGTGAACGCCTGATTAGATATTTGTGTTAACGAGCAGTTGAACAGGTGTACCTAACAAAGTGGCCAATGAGGGTATGTGATTTACTTTAGAAACAGAGGTTAGCAACAGCAACAAAGTTTAAAATTTGCCCGAAATTCTACTACAAAATCTGCCCTCTGATTTGATTCTGTCCTCTTTGTTATTCCCAGATCATCATGATGTCATCACCCTCGACAGGCTTTTTCATTTCTGCAGCCCATGCATATTTCCTGAGGATTAGATTGTTTCAAATATTTTCCTATTCGTGTTGTAACATAATGCAATATATTAACATCTTGAATGAGTTTGCTGCACATGAAGTATTCTCTTCTCTGTTTTTCTGTCACAAGGAATGAGTGAGGGCCTGCAGACATTCACGCAGTGGTAATGTCAGTAGGTAAATGAGAACAGAACAGCTGTACATTTAGTTTGGGAGGTACAGAAAATTGTTTAAAGGAGCCCTGTGGATAAAAAGTGACCTGAGGGAATATTCAGCTAAATGCATTAAAGGCTTTACAGACTCTTGATGAAAGCATACACAGTAAACATGTGGATCAGTGGCTGCTTTTGCTGCCCGGAAGTAAAACAGAATGTTTTTCAAATTAGCATCTGAAGAAAAGAATGAGAAGACGGAGTCAGATTTTATGTAGCTAAACTGCTTCCTTGCTTTTTAAATGAATCGCACACCAGTCTGTGTTTACTGTACAGTACTGACGGGATTGCTAACCATGACGTGATGAGAGTAAAAGCTTCATATCAACATCCACGAAATGGCTTCCATCGTATTTTATTCTCAGAGGAATTAAAGACTTTCTGCAAAAAAAAGTAAAACAAGATTGTTTACTGACTCATCAATGTACAGCACACATAACTGAGCACGCTTATTTGCATTAATAATGTACAACTTTTTTTGAAGCCGTAGGTGGACGAGTAAGACGATGTGCAAAGCTTTTCCCTGATTCCCAGAGTTACCCTCATCTTAACAGACAGATCCTATGCAGCGCTTACCTACAGCTGTAATTAGTCATCTTGGTCAGGTCAGTTCCAGCCATACATCTGGTAAAGCCAAATTTACTGTTTACACCAATGAGCACAGAAAACGGGCCAGACATGGCTCACATTAGGTTGGATGAAAATAGTTTGCGAGTCAGGAGTTGAACACTGGAAGTTCAGATACATTGCATTGCTGTTTCAGTACACTTACTGTCCATGCCGTCATCACCGATGATTGTCTTTCTTTCCCCAAAATGAAGAGTGTGGTCTACACAAGTACAAAGTAAAAAATGAAAGTATTTACAAATGTATAAAAACAAGTACAAATGTTAAAAAACTACAAACGATGATTCGAGCACTTTTGCATGCAAACATTCAAGGATTTAAAAAAAGGATTGTTTTCAGATGCCTCTGCATCATCCTTACTCTGCTGTATGTGGAACATTTGCAGGATGAGTGTTTTTCTTTTCTCTTATATAAAACAGGAACTTTACAGTGGCATTTATTTTAGTGACATGGCCATTCAGAAGACAACTGTACTCCTTCTCTAGGGCCTGTGTATAAAGCTGTTAGTACAAGCTGTTGATCCTCTGCTCGGTCAGAATTCATACAGTCTTCAGTCAAATGTTTTTGAGCCGGCCTGCGTGATCTCATTTATAGGGAATGTCTATGTAATTCAAGCATCCAAGCAATTGCACTGTTGGGCTAGATGTGTACAAAAGTAGACAAATAGCTGAAAACAAGTTCTCGCTCCTCCTCGTCACAAGTCTGAAAGGCTACAGCCTGCTGAGGTTGGCACCTTGTTGCACCTCACTCGTAGTTACAATCAAAGATGGCTATGTGCTGGTGGAACTCTGGATTATGTTTTTCAGTCTTGTGTGACCACCACCTGTCTCCCACCAGACTTCTACAGGCCAGGGCGAGGCGGAGGGCGGGCAGGTGGAGGGGCTCGTCCAGGAGGGGGTCCCTGGGGAAGAGGTGGCAGCAAGCCGGTTGGGCTAGCGCAGGGCAGAGGCGTGGGTGAGAGCGCCGGTGGGGCGGGTATGTGCAAGGTGGTTGGAGGAAGAGCCCGGTTGGGAGGTGGTGTGTAAGGGGGAGGGGTGGAAATGGGTGGAGGGGTTGGAGGCAGCGAGGAGAAGGGCGGCGCGCTGGGAGTCGGTGGTAGGGTGCCCTGCGGTGGAGGTGGATTCCTGCCAGGCGGGTTGTAGATGGGAGATGGGTGATTGTTGAAGTGTGGGTAGCTAGGGGGGGATTTTACACGGGTGAAGTTCATGCATCTGCCCTATAAAATTAAACAGAGTTCAGATTTTGTTAGCAAAGTGGCAAACGTTAAATTTTTTTCCATTAATTGTTCAATCGAAGGCAAAAATTCACAATGAAAATTCAGACATTGAGTCTAAATGACAGAAAGGAAAAGGTCTGGCTCACATCATAGCCTGTATATAGAAGATGGATTTAGCCTATGGGTTTGAAAAGTGAGGCTCATAAAACATTTGCCTAAACCTGCTTTCTTTTGATGATCCAACAAGGTGTGACCTCTAAGGTTGCATAAAAAAAATCTCACTGTGGTGACCCTACTGCTTACTTAGCGTATATTCACTATAAAAACTTTATTAATGATTTTATTGTCTCAGCAGCTAGCTTGAAGTCTAATACGACATTTCAGAACAATAAGATGATATTTGCATTTTCTAAGAGCCAAAGCAAAATTTCATACATTCATAAACTACTGCCATAAAGTGCAAGTACTATATTTTAACATACTATTTGAATAATATCAACTTTGTGCAATAAATCGTGGCTAAAAAGCAGATCAGATCTGCATGAATATATTTAGCAATCTGTCAGTCTACTGTTTATCTCGGCTTTCAATATGCAGAGTGAAAAATATCTACATCTATTTACTCTGGATGAGGCTGTAAAACTTTCTGAAAGTAGTCAGATATGAGTCAGTCTGTTGTTGAAGCTCACTTTTGACCAGTGACACTGATACTGAGTTGTTGAGGATATCCTTACCTTGTCTGTTGGTAAATGCTACTGTTAGCCTCTGTTAGCTACTGTTAGCCTCTGTTAGCTACTGTTAGCCTCTGTTAGCTGGCATTAGTGAAACTTTCTTTGAAGTATATCTAACATTGTGTGACTCTGGCACGTAGCAAATAAACTCTCATATGATGTGAGAATCAAACTGCTTGTCAGAGAGAAAGTAAGATTCATGTTTGCTTCAAGGACACTCATAGGCTTACACGCTTATAACCAGCTGCTGTTTTTGTTTAGCTAGCTCAGTATCTGGACACAGGAGAGTCACATTTCAAATCTGCTGAAAATAAGTAATTGTGACAATATCTGGAATAAATAAGGATGTTTATGCACATTTTTATGTGTTAGAGCAACATCTTCAGTTCAGGAGATTAGCCTGGAAGAGTTAGAGGAAGAGTTTTCTCTTTTCTTTTGCAGCTTGTTTGTTGAGGAGTACCCCTTCTTAGATGATAAAACATAGGTAAGAATTCACATTTCGGGTGCAACATATTTTGGGGAAATAGTCTTATATCCATCTCAGCCATTGCATTCAAGCAAGTGGGGCAACACGGTAGCTTCCACAAAGTGGTGCCAGCTCCTATATTTTTAATTAATTAATTCTAAGTTTATGAGAACGTTAGTACTAACTAAAAACATAGGATCTATGACATTTTTTAAATTTATCTGCTGCTCTTTTTTTTCATTTGATCAAACAATAACTTCAGAATTTGAAGGGTGAAGAACCAATGTCTCCACTTTTCTGAACTTTCTTTGACAAAACACACACTTTCCTGCTTTGACAACTGAATGAACTCACTCTCACAAAAGCCTTTTCCTGTTGTCAGTACACAGCTACATAATGTGTATTTTAATGTCAGCAGACCTTAAAAAATGTGCTGTAATTCTCAGTCCCAGCTTAAATTTTGAGAAGCTATGCACCTATTTCATTGGACAACTTGACCTGCCATCATTTACGCCCATTCAAAATGAAGTGAGGTCATTCAAGGGAAATATACATCATCATCATCATCATACTCCAGAAACAAGTTACACCCCTGGAGCAGCTGCACTCAGTCGACCCAGGAGTTGCAATAGGCTGATAAGGAATGTGTCTCTTATTTAACACTGAGGAGAAATGACTGTTGGGGGAAAAGAAATAGGCCAAATGCTGCATGTTGTACAGTTCATCTTATACTGAATATCATAGATCCTTATGTCTCTTGGGCTCCTGGACTGTATCATACTTGTATCTACATTCCCAGTCAGTCACTACTGAAATATGTGATGGTTCAGTAGCCCAGTAACCTGCTGTGTTACGTCCTCTGATTTTATTTTTAATTACTGAAAAGACCCCAGTCTTTAAGGCTCACAAAAGCAACACGTAACAGGGTTTTTCTCCAGCAACAACTGGATCGGCTGGCTTCCTCCTCCCCGCTGCTGCACTCATTTATAAAAAGGCTTTTAAAATAGACTCCTAATTGCAATCAGAACAAGCTTTCTGCTCAGAAAGTGTTCACTGCTCAGAAAGTACAAACAAGTATTTTTCTTTTCCAGTAAGCTAATGAAAAGCTTTTATAGTGAGGAAGACACACTTCGACACTTTGTTTCTCAGTGAGCTGAGTGCTGGTTAAAACGTCCATAAACTGCATAATGCAAAAAGTACTGTCAAGAGAATGAGCTGCCTAGTTAGTTCTAAATATCCTGTATAATATTTTAGAATAAGCTTGAAAGCTTATTATAAAATGCCTCTCGGGCACAAAAGAGCATCGCAGACGGGCTGAGGCTGAAGTAAAACAGGGTGAAATCGGCTGCTCAGGCTCGTTGCATCCACAATTACAAGTTAAAACTCTATCATGCAAAGAAAAAAGAACACTTATTTCTTGTTTGTTTTTAATCAGGAAACGCCTTGATTATTTTATCAGAACAGTGCCAAACTGCATTTTGCATGTATTACAACACCATGACTGTAGAAAACAAGCCTGATTGCTAAAGTGGCTCACCTACATACCAGACCTTTTACCCTCTAAAAACATCTGGCTCACTTCAAGACAAAAAATACAGCAAAGGAGGCTAAGAAATAGTTTAAAGTATGAATCCTGATAAGTTTGCCTTGAGATGTAATTTCCCATCCTCCTCAGCATGAAATGAGGGTCTTGCTGGACTGTCAGTGTATCTCTTTAAGGAAATGCTGCATAACTGCACTGATGAAGATGAAGAAACCTGACCGTATAATAACACATCAGTCTGAAAATTCCAGAGGCTTATTCATGCCAAACAATTATATTTCTATTGTAACTGCATAAAGTATCAACATTAGGATTTTTGCATCAAAGTAAAAAATTACATTATAGCTGCCAAAAAATGAACTATGGACTATACTGGTGAGCTTTGCTGAACTTGTTAGTAACTGGTTGGTCTGCTGTTTGCCTTTAGAACTGCTTTAATTCTACATGGCATAGATTCAGCAAGGTGCTGGAAGCACTCCTCAGAGATTTTAGTCCACATTACCATGACAATATCACACAGTTGCTGCAGATTAATGTGAATCTCCTGTTTCACCGCATTCCAAAGATGCTCTATTTGATTGAGATCTGCTAATTGTTAAGGCCACTGGAGTTTCGTGAACTCATTATGATGTTTAAGAAGTCATTTTGAGATCATTTGAGGTTTGTGATGTGTCGTGTTATCCTGCTGTCAGATGATGGGTACGCTCTGGTCCGAAAATACTCCAAGAAAATATCCCCGGTACTATTACATCACCAGAGTTCCACCAGAATCATTCATACAGGACTGGATGGATCGAGGCTTTCATGATGTTTATGCAGAATTCAGTACATGCGATTTAAATGTCCCTGCAAAAACTGAGACAACATGTGATTTGTGGCCTTAGATTCTTATTCTCAGCTTACAGGGATGGCACCGGCTGCTGCTGTGGTCTTCAGCTGCTATAAACTAAATCTGTTTTAAGATATGTGTGCTGTGCTTCCAGAGATGCTCTTCTGCATACCTTTGTTATAACAAATGGTTAGCTGAGTTATTGTTGCCTTCCTATCAGTCTGGGAGTTCTCCTCTGACATCAACAAGGCGTTTTCATTTTCCGCAGAGAACTGCTGCTTACTGGGTATTTTATTCTTTTTCGGGCAATTCTGATGGGTTTGAGTAGATCACCATGTCTGCATGCCTAAATCAGTTGCTGCATGACTGACTGATTAGATATGTGAATTAATAAACAGCTGAGCAGCTGTACTTAACAAAATGGCTGTTGAGTTTATAATATGCATATGCATAACATTACAAAAACATGGGTTTAAAAGCATGCATAACTGGTATTAACTGTAGTAACTGGGAGTAACTGGTATTCTCACTAGAAGTTTAAAATAAAAGAAAGGTGGGCTACTAATATTGCTTCCTATTCTCATCTTCAAAATTCTCCTTTATGTTTCAACACCGCTGTGTGTCACTGTGCAAACAATAGTAGCAGCTCCTCCCTGGAATGGCATTTAAAGGCCTATCTTCTAGCAGCAAATCCTGTCTGGGTTGTTATTGAGTCAAATCTGAAACTAGCTCAGTGTACTTTAGATTTACTCAAAACACTTAGGAGTTACAGTAGTTACAGAGAAAATTCTAGAAAATGTAAAAAATGATTGTTTAAATGTGCCAGAAATGTCTTTTCACCCTGTGAGGGTAATGGTTTTAGATCGACACTCTGACCCAGAGAAATGTGAATCATTACATAAACACTTGCGGTGACATTTTTAGACACATAATTCCCGTTTTTCACCGCATACAGACTCTACTGTCTCTGACTTCATGTTAGCTTCCAGCTGCAGCGGTCACTGCACTGTCACCCCCACTGCAGCTGGTCTTTGAGGAATTTCATTTTGTTTTTTCATAATGACTTCACCAAACGCTTTTACATTGCTGCGTACTGTAGCAGTCTAAATCCAATCCCACTGCAACTTTTCCCATGAGTCTCGCTGTGCACACTTCATTGCTTACAGCTGGTCCATTTTCTCAACATTTTCACATACAATCGTTTCAATTGCTAATTTTCATTTGCCAGAAGTTAATGCACAGCCAAGCCTGACGTCAGCCCGTGAAATGCAGAACGATTTACAATGCACGCTCAGTGCATGCCAGTGCAGGGTTGGTGTTGCTCTTACCTTGTCACCTGGATGAGGTCTCATTACAGACACACGGTCGTAGCCTTTTCTTAAAAGCACCCACAATGCATCCAGTTTGCTCTGTGGAAACAGAGAAGAGACCAAAATGTTTAAGAGAATGTAAAATCCTACAAAACATTGGTTTCTGCTTCCAACCCTTGTTTTTTTTTTTTGTTTTTTTTGGTCTTCTTTTTCACACAAGTGACTTCAGCTGCAGTTTAATGTATCGTTTAATTCATCCATTTATCTCAAAGCGACACAGTGAAATGGTTTCAGTCCACTGTAAGTTGGCTCTTCATACTTTTCAGACGCAGCAAATACTTTGAGGATAAGAGCAGAAAAAATGCAGCTGTTTTTGCTCACAAAAACTCCTGGCTGTGGAGCCTTTCTCTCTGGAGGTCAGTCCAACAGAAGTCTGGTTTCTATTAGCAATCCCCTGCTGACTGGGAAGACTTCAGAAAGACTCCTTTAACCCCACGCTGGTCCTGGAGGAATGGAGCCGTGTGCCAATTGTCACCTAAGATTTAATACCCGAACACATCTCGGGCTATTTTCACCAAAACACCATACTCGTACTAACATATCCTCAGCCAGATTAGCATGAAGTAATCTGTGACAGATGCTGTGTTATATGTAGTATGCGCCCCAGCAGAGCTGTTAAAAACCATGATTCCCACACTTCAAATACTTTTTAAACTAATAACTCTCAAATTCTCCAGTATTTACTCATTTTTATGTGGCTCAGTTAAAACTCATATCCTGTTTGCTTTAAGTTGTTTAGGTAACACTTGTGAGGAATGATTCAGCACAACAGTGATAAGCTGTTCCTCAGTACTTCCATGATCACGTCTGACTCAGGACATTATAGTAAAACTCCGTTCCAAAGATGTTCGGGTGCTGAAAACGTATTAGATGTTTAAAGTGAGACATTTTACTATTTTATTTTTATTTTTATTTTTTTAAATATTAGCTCGTTTTGAATTTGATGGCAGAAACACATCTTTTAAAAAAAAGAAAAAAGTGAAAGTGGAAAACTGTTCTGTGGTCAAATTCTTTTTGGAAAACATGAACTCTGTGTCCTTCGAACTAAAGAGGAGAGGGGTCCAGTTTGTTATCAGCGTTGAGTTCAAAAGCCTGCGTCTCTGATGATATAGAGTTGCACTGGTGCCTGTGGTATTAGAACATACATTTGGAAAGGCACCAACAATGCAGAAAGGCCTGTACATGTTTTACATACACTCCCATCCAGATAAAGTATTTTTCAGAGAAGATCTTCCATATATCACTATAATCCCAAACTCTGAGTCTGAGTCTGGGTTCTGAATTAGTCCGCCTGCAGACCAGATCTTTCCACCAATTTAAAAACATTTGGAGCATCATGAAACGAAAAATTCAACTATGTTCTGTCGTGAATAAAATACTGTTAGATGAGATTTTGTTTCATATTTACATTTTACACAGCATCAAAGCTTTAATTTACAAATGTAGTCTTAGATATTGATTACTGAAAACCATCTGGGGCAATGGTTTTCAGTAATCAGTACTGAAAACTGTTTGTGTTCCCTTAGTGAAGCATCATACTGAGTTTCTCAGTAGTTCCTAATGAGTAATCATATATA